AAGGTACATTACTATGTAAAATCTACTTTTATATCATGTTATAAAGTTGTTCCCTCATCAAAAACATACCTGGAGTGTTGCCTTGATTCTTTCATGCATGTTTGAGAAATCTTTTAATCTCCATGGCAACCATTCAGCTACAAAATGCATGAGTGGACCTAGCTCCGCCTCCAAGACGCAGCTCCTCCTCTGAGCTTCAGTCTCCAAGCTCTACTAGCGCTCATCATCTGCCAGCCAATCAGAGGAGACGTTGACGGTCCATTCAGACGTCGGAGGGACAAGCCCCGCCTACTTGGGAGCGGCTACGTATGCTGTGCTTTGGTTAAATTGGGTTAGCAATCACTTAAACCCGATGGTTTTACAAAAGAAAAGTTGCAAAAATTCACAAATAACTGCATTAATGTGAAAAAACAAAACAGAAATCTTTTGATTTTGTGTGAATTTCCACAATTAGTCAGTAAAAAGCTGGAGGAACTGTTTTTGTGTTGCTTTGCAATAAGAAGGTTGAGAGTTTGGATCTTGTAATAGAGTCTTTCTGCATGGAGTTTGTATATTCTCCCTGTGCATTATGGTTACTCTGACGTCCTCCCAAAGTCCAAAAACATGACCGCTGGGTTATTTGGTTATTGTAAACTTGCCCTTAGGTGTGTGCATGGGCGTAGACAACAGCAACATGGAAAGTTTCTGCATATATTTTGCTGCGTTGCACCACAGTTGAGCCCACAGTTAATCGGTTTTCTTTGTGGTGGGATCCACACCGCTCCCTGACATCACCCTAAAGACGCCCTTTAGCACAGAGGCAGACATGGAAAACCTGCAGGCTGTCGCACACAAAGGCGGCCCTGATGGCCTCGCATGCTAGGCGCACAAACATGAGGATTACTGTAAACACTCGGCTATCAGTGAAGAGGCTCAGCAGAGATGAAGTGTGTTGGGGGAACCGAAGGGAGGGCAGAGAGGCTGGCTGACGGGCCGGGACATGTTCACCCAGCCCACAGCTACAAACTAATCGTTATATATGGCAAGAAAGAACCTGGGAGGGAAACAATTTGTAAGTTAAGCTGAGGCTTCGTTTGACTTAACAACACAAAACTCAGTGCAGACTCTAAAGGGACAGTATCACGTAAAATCTGCTTTTTCAACTTTACATCATGTTATAATGTTTGTCCCAGAACATACCTGGAGTGTTGCTTTCATTCTTTCATGCATGTTTGAGAAATCCTCTAATCTCTATGGCAACCATTCAGCTCCAAACACCTGGTTGGACTGAGCTCTGCCTTTGATTTGCAGCTCCTCCCCCTCTCAGCTCCTTCAAACTAGCCAGCAGCAATTAGCAAACACCTGATGGAACTGCTTAGCTCATGATGGGAGCTACTTCTCAGTGCAACCCTGGTAAAAACGTTGTTAAAGGTTAATAGAGGAGCCATGTTGGAAGGCAGAGTGTCAGAAAGAGCAGGACTTTCTTAAAGAGACAGAGGCCCAATTTCAAGGCATTGAGTTAGGAAGTACATTTAGTTTTAAGTCATATTTGATATATACAGCATTTTTATGAAAGTAGCATAGTTTGTTGAAACTATGTTACCTTGTTGAAACTATGAAATGGCACTGTGTGCCTTGTATTAGTATTACTACTTCAGTATTTTTTGGTGTCTGGAAAGTTAGCCGTTTTAAAAACCTCCAGAATATAACTTCACCAATCAGCAAGCCAAGCCTGTTACCTAGCAACCAAAGCTGAGCCCAGCCTGTTTGGTCAGCTGGTTTTACTGCTGTGTGTCTGTACAATGGCTGCTGGAAGAGACAAGTGTCTAGTTGATGATTTACTATCCAGAAACCACTTGCTGCATTCTTGTTGGTTGCACAGCAGGCTCCACTTCTGCTTTTCAAAGACGTATACCTGTGGATCTGTTTGCAGCCATTTTTATGTGCGAGTATAAACGCTGAGTTGAGGGGTCGTGGCCAGCAGTGACAGAGAGGAGGGAATGGTCTGCTCTCTGGATCAGGTTCCTGCCGTCTAACTGGAGGCGAAGAATAAAACAGGAAAACATGAAGCTGAATCATCAGAAACAGCACAAAATGAGAACCTGGCCATGAACCGTGACACATTAGGTCCAATAAGCAGCTTCTAATGCAGGACTCATGTTCAGCTAAACCTGTTAATGAGCTGCTGATCCTCCAGTGGAGAGAATCCAGAGCTTTCTGGAGCCGAACTTCTCCGTTAATCTCAGTCAGATTCAGACTGGATGGCAGCTGATGATTCACAGCCGCTCCGACTCCCGCAGCGAGAATGTCGGCCTTCGCTGCTTTGTCATGTTTCTGGTATTTTGGATCTTCAGATCTGTGCAGCTCAACAGCCTGCTTTCATTACCCAGCCTGCTAAAGCTCTCCCCCACCCTGGATGGTAGGAAATGTTGCTTGAATCAAACACTTGGCCTCTGAGTTTAGCATCCCTGTGGTTCTATTTGGAGATACAAACCCGATTCAGTTTCCTCTGTTGTGTCTGCAAGACTCAAGGTTGCATGTTGAAACCTCCCGACTCGGCTGAGGTGTGTCTCAGCTGCAGCTCCGCATGAAGGGAACGAGGCAGACCGAGGAGGAGCCGCAGGTCGCAGAGAGGCCAGGTGGTTTCTGTCTGCACCAACAGATACCTGCGGTGGTCGGCTGCCAGAGCTCCATGGAAGTTATCCGCCTCTAACTACACTTACTGAAGTAAACCTTTCGACCTTTCAAACTCAGAAAATCCCCCCCAAAAAATCTAGGAAACTTCTGGGATTAACGTCATATTTTTGACTTTTCAAACTCTGAAATGTCCAAATTCTTTTCTAGAAAATTTGTGAGATAAATCCAAATATTTCTGATATTTGTTCTAGCAAATTTTCAACTTTTCAATCACAGAAATTTCCAAAAGTTTTCTAGAAAATTTGGGTCTGGACACCCTGCAGCAGGGCCGTGCCGCGTCACAGCTGCTTTGTTTCATATCATGGTGCTCCATCAGAACCGAACCCGTCCGTTCTAACCCAAATGGATCCAGCATGGCCCCAGGGCAGACCAGGTGAGACAAACTGGCAGAGCTGGGTAGAAACCAGTTACATTTACTGCGTTGCACTTTTTACTGTTATCCAAAGTTCCTGGGTTCCCTCAGACGGCCGCAGAGGGAAACCGGAGAGGCTGGCTTCGTTCAGCGCCGCAGTAGAAACGTCAGAAATGAAACACAGAGAAAAAGCAGATTCAGTTTCACACAGGCAAGAAGAATGACGCAGAAGAAGAGGTGATTAACCTGGAGCGGTGTCTGGACACGCAGATGATGTTTGTTTTCCTGAAAATCAGCCGTCACAGAGGCGACGCTCATGGTTTTCTCCACCCAATTTAAAAAAAAAAAGAAGAATCTTCTGAGTTAAAATTCAAACTTTTTGCGGTGCTGAGGTGGCGCAGGGATTCAGCACAACCCCCATATGGAGGGCTTAGTCCTTGACATGGCTGTCGCAGGTTCGGTTCTCGGCCTGGCGACCTTTGCCACATGTCTTCCCCTTCTCTCATTACCCTCTTTCCTGTCAAATAAAGGCCACTAGAGCCATTAAGCCTGAAAAAAATAAACTTTTATGTGAACCCCCTGAGAGTTTGGCACCACTAAGCAGTGGGTGGTAACACTTTATTTGAAGGGGGGTGAATAAGACTGTCATGACACCGTCATAAACATGACATAACACCTGTCATGAACATGAATAAGCCTTCATGAATATTTGACTGTTGTCATAAAGCGTCATTCGGTAAATTATGACACTTTTAATACAAAGTTGACATTCAAAATGTCTTTGTTATGACAACTTGACATTAACCAAGAAATCATTACTATTTAAACCTTTAATAACATAAAGTTACCTAATTTTTAAAGTGCAATCAGTAAAACTTTTATAACAAATTTATATCAGTAATGATTTCTTGGTTAATGTCAAGTTGTCATAACAAAGACATTTTGAATAATGTCAACTTTGTATTAAAAGTGTCATAATTTACCGAATGACACTTTATGACAACAGTCATAAATATTCATGAAGGCTTATTGATGTTCATGACAGGTGTTATGTCATGTTTATTACAGTGTCATGTCAGTCTTATTCAACCCCCTTCAAATAAAGTGTTACCCAGTGGGTTAGTTTGCTTATGCTTTGGGCCGGCTCTGTACGTCATATAGTCTTCAGTCAGAGGTCTATTCAGATTCACTGTAAGACTGACTGCTACTGGAGATCCTTGTTAATTTATCTAATCAACTGTTTACCTTTTTTCAATGCAAATCATACTCTGATGGACTTTCTTGACTTTTTAATTATTACTAAATGTAAAATATATTCTAATAGCGTCCACTTTACATATCTCCTGTTTTGAGAAATTTTCTACAAAAACCTTATAGAAACTTTTTCAAAACTTTTTGAGTTTAGAAAATTTTTTCTGAGTTTCAAGAAGTCAAAAAAGAAATTTCCAAGATGCATCTAGAAAATTTCTGAGGTCAAAATTTCATCTTTTTTCTCGCAGATTTTCAACTTTTAAAATTGAGAAATTTCCTACATTTTACTAGAAAATTTGTAAGCTTAATCTCAAAAGTTCAGTTTTTTTTCTGGACAAATGCCCAACTTTTGAAACTCAGAAATTTCAGAATTTTCTAGAAAATTTCTTTTTTTTCTGGCAAATGTTTGACTTTTGAAATGTCCACGTCTTTTCTAGAAAATTGTTGAAGTTAGTTTAAAATCTTCTATTTCTTTTCTTCCACATTTTCGAATTGTGAAACTCAAAATTTTTCTAGAAATTTTCTGAGAGATCAGAAAACACCAACTTGTATTTTAGTTTATTTATTTAATTTTAGAACATTTCTGATATTATTCTCAATATTTTTTTTATTTTATGGCAGAAATTTACTCCTTTTTTTACCATTTACAATTGCCCAAATACGCCTTCTTAAAAACATGTTCATCACATTCTGATGAGATGAAAATTTGTAAAAATCTGATAAATCTGCCTTTTAGCAGCAAGTCCAGCGCCGCACAGCTGCGCAGTGGAGACGCTTCTCTGAGTTGTGCGCAGCTGCTGCGCTCTGATTGGCGCAGAGAGGCGTGTTCCCCGCAGGAATGCGGCGCTCAGGTGGAGGAAGAGTCACCGACTCAGAGCTCTGCGCTCCACAGCTCGCAGGACGCGCTGCGCACCGCTGCTCTCCTTTGCGCACTTTGAGCGGACAGATCAACCGCAACCTGCTGCTGATTTGACTTGGAAACTGTTTAATGTAAAAGTTTCTTTCTCAATCGGACTGATTTTCTCATGACTCACAGCTGGTAAACTTAACAAGTCACTTCTTGCAGCAGGACTGTCCTCAGGAAGATGCGTTCATGTTTTCCACGCTCAGCTTTCCCCAGAAGGACCGAAGGGATGTGAGGCGCTTTGGGAGCCGAGAGCGCAGCTGCTTGGATGGATCTTCCCTCCAGCTGAAGGAGAATCAGTAGAAATAATAGAAATTATTCCCTACCGCGTGTTTCTAAAGGCGGACCGAACCGGACCGGACCGCAGCCGGACGCGCACAGCCAGCAGAGCGGACATGGGCTCTGTGTTTGGGTCTGGACACCCTGCAGCGGGGCCGCGCCGCGCGTCACAGCCGCGTCGTTTCACATCATGATGCTCCATCAGAGCCGAACCCGTCCATTTTAACCCAAACGGATCCAGCATGACCCCAGGGCAGACCAGGTGAGACAAACTGGCAGAGCTGGGTAGAAACCAGTTACATTTACTCAGTTACTTTAGTAAAAGGACTTTTAGGAATATTTTTACTACGCTGATTATGTTATGAAGTATTTCTACTCTTACTTTAGTAAAATTCGTGGATTTTCTACCCACTGAATGAAAACAAACATCCAGCAGACAGACACACACCTGCAGTTTTTATTAAAGTTTCAAAAGTTTTACTTTGAAGGAAACTGATTTGGAAAAAAAAATATTTTGCCTGATTTTGTTATTTTATGTTACTTATTGTCATTTTAGTCTTTAATACAAAAATGTCCACTTAACTTTATATTTTGGTCTTTTTGTTTATGGAATTTTAAATGATTGATAATTTGATCAGTTACTCAGTACTTTAGTAAACTTTTTACCAAATACTTTTTTACTCTTGGTTGAGTAAAAATATGTTGAAGTTTTATTGTCTCTGTTGGGGTCCAGCTTTGGGAAGTGACACATTCCTCCGACTGCAGCGACTTTAAATATTTACCTTGAGTTACTTTTTTTCTTGCAAAGGCTTGAAGATTTGTTGAAGAGGGAGGCGACAGATTCCAGACAGTTTGTTCCTTAGCTTGCTTCATTTTCTGCAGAGATTTTATTGATTCATATTTACTAAAGTTCTTATTTAATCATTTTTTTTCTGTTCCGTCACAAAAAGCTCATATACCACAGCATGATGCTGCTACTACCATGTTTCATACACAGCATTTTGGAAAAAGAAACAATGAATTGTGACTTTAATCTCAGAATTATGACGTTAATATTTAATTTCACAACAAAAACTTGGATTTAACTGGAAAAAATCTGGAAAAGTCAAAAATGTTTCACTTTTGAAAGTCAGAAATTTTCAATTTTTTTAATGAAATATCTTGGAATAATCGAAAATTTTCTGAATTTTTTTTTATTTTTGACTTTTGATAATCAAAAATTTCCTAATTTTTTCTAGAAAATTTCTATGATTAATTTCAACATTTCTGAATTTTCTTTGTAGATTTTTTTTGCTCTTCAAACTGAGTTTTGTTTTTAAGATTAATCTAATTTTTTTGTTGTTTTTTTTCTAGATTTTTTTTAAATATCTTAACTTAAGAAATGTCCATGTTTTTTCTAGAAAATGTCTGGGATTGATCTCAATACTTCTGAATTTTTCTGGAAAATTTCAGACTTTTCACACTCAGAAATTTCCATGTTTTTTTCTCAGAATGTCAGAGATTTTTGGTGGAAATTTACTCAATTTTTCATGTGTTTAAAGTGGCCCTGGTATGCTGTCGTAGTTTTGAGGTAATCCTGCTTCCGTATCGGGAATGTTGCCACACGTTGCTCTGCTGTTATCTCCTCTGTCACCAGCTATAAATACTCGGCTCATATTTTATCTGATCTGTCGCCGCTGCAGGCTGCAGAGAAACCCGGGCTTCTCCCCCCTGAACCTTTACATTAAACCCTGTTTCTGAAACTCTTTTACAGCGGAGGGTGAAATGTTTTCAGTTGGTTTGGAGTGAGATGTGACTCCTGACTCTGGAGATGTTTGGCCCATGGCGCTTCTCTTCTGATGACTCTCAGGAGGAATGTGTGTGAGATCCAGCCGTCAGATTCATGAACACATTTAATCTGCTTACCTTTGGAAGACTGAGCATATGGCTCCAAAACGAGCGCTCTGATTGGTTCTTACACACAGTGATGTCATTCCTCCAGGGAGGAATTTGGATGCACCAGGTATCAACACGAGAGAAATTTGTTGTTAGCAAGACAATGTGGTTCAGAGCAGCGAAAGGTTTAATCCAGCTCCTGTTTTGGATGAAAACAATTTAAAGTTTTACAGAGTTGCAGTGAGGAAGTTCATTATTCTGCAGCCATGCTCTGTAATGGACGCCAGCTGGAGGGTAGACATAATACCACCAGAGATTTAGCCAAAGGAAGCACAAAGTGAACCACGAACTTCATAAACTCTGATTTTTACTATAAATAAAACATCATTTACTCCTCAGAAGTGTTGGAGAAGTAATACTGACCAGGCCTGTTTAGTCAAATGTAATCCAGTCGGTTTGTCTAAACCGTCCGGCTCGGTTGAAGAGGTCAAACTCTGGTCCGCCTACAAACCTCAGTCTGTTCGGATGCAGTGACCAGGAAGTGGACAAAAGCACCGGGCATTCTGGGTAAATACAACCTAATTTAACATGCTAGCCTAGCGCTAGAAGGAAAAATAGCATGTGGTTTTTAGCTAAAGGCAAAAGAGAAATCTTAAAACCGCTCAAATCTGATGCCGTTTGTGAAGAAGGAAGTTGTGCTTCGTGTCTTCAGACGTTTTTGTGTCGTTTTTTTCAATGGTTCTTTGGTTTTCTAGAAAAAAACTCAAAAAATTCTTAACTTGAAAAATCCAAACATTTCTAGAAAACACTTATACTGTTTAGATGAATTTCAGAAATATTCTAAAAAATAATATTTTCTGAGTTTGAAAAGTCAAAAATTGCCAAGAAAAAACTTGGAAATTTATCAGTTTCAAAAGTAAAAATAAATTAAAAATCCACTTTTGAAACCAATAAAATTTCAAAAAGTCAAAAACTTCTCAGTTTTATCATACAAATTCTGGAGCTCAGAAATGTTCATGATTTTTCCAGAAAATTTGCTCAGATAATCTAAAAGTGTTTGAGTATTTTTGACAGAAATGTACTTCTCCTTTCTTTGTTTCTACGTACAATGGCCGTAGCGTCACATCTTAGTGCCTGGAAGTTGATTTTAATCTAATTTTCCAATTCTGAAAGAAAAAGAAGGGTTTCTGTTCATGCCCAGAGAAACTCCTGATGCTTTCATGTATCATCAGACAGACCAGAAACACTTAATTGTCTAATCTCTGGACTTGTTTATTATATTTACATTTGGCTTCCTGGTTTAAACCTGAGCTGGGCCTTTGGATCAGGTTTCCACATTCTTGTTGTCGCATGCAGCTTTGGTTAGCTTGAGGTTTAAACGAATCAGATTAGCTTGGAGTTAAGAGACCTTTAATCTCTCTTCTTATTGGTTCACTTCTGCTGCAAACTCGTTTCCACTTGCAGTTATTAAACGTATTTGAGTAACTTATATTTTTATCTGTCTGGGCTGTAAAAAGTATCAATTCCGTCCTTGAATAAAAATGTTTTTTTCCATCTTTGAATCAAAGGGGAATAATTTTTGTTCTCCAGTTTAGCGAAAAAATGCAACAAAGAGTCAGTTTGTGTTCCTTAAAAAATGACAAACATGCAGCGACTTTCTGCTCCCAATTTAAAACGTTGCAGCTGCAGCTTTATTGTCAGGAAACAGAGTCCATAAAGGATAAACGGAAAGTTAATTAACTAATCAATGATTCTGAAGGTTCAGGCAGGGACTGCCGATCCTGAAGGTCCGACCTGACAGCGAAACGTTAAAGTGTTCAGATGGTTCCAGGTTCCTGCTAACTCAGCTCTAACTAGAAAATAATATGAGTGAGTGATTACACTAATAAAACTCCCGTTTCAAGGTTCACTCAGATAAAACTTTACAGCTCTAACAAGTCGCTGATTTTACAAATCCAGCCTGGTAGTTTGTGACATTTCTTTTTGAGTTTTTTTTCACTTCGGTATCACGTATTTGTATCAGTCGCTGTGCCTCATGTTGCAGAGCGTGATTGCAGATGACCTTGGAAGCTCTGATTCAGTCAGAGGCTGTGAGAAGATAATCTCATAATCCCTGAGGTATGATGGTGTACCGAGTCTCTCTGTCATGAAAGGAGCAAATTAGCCAAAGCGAAGGAACAAAAAAGGAGAACGAATCAGAGTTTGATCTCGACATTTTGCCAACAGGGAATCTACATTTGTTTCCTTCAAGTTTTTTTTTCCAAACTGACATTTTCTTAAAGCATCTCAATCTAAAGTTCCTTTCTGGAGGTCCTTTAAAGTTTTTCTCTAGACTTTAACTGAACTTCACTTCAGTATCTGATTATTTTCAGAAGAATGTCAGTTAATGTGATTTTAAAGTACAGCATGAATGTGAAGTCGTATTTTCTACAAAGACAAATCTGAAAACTGTGGTGTAGATGTTTATTTAGGGAGTTTTCACACTGGCCTTGTTGAATCCGCTTTAATCAAACCAAACAAGGTAACTCTGGTCCTGCACACCTCGGCCTGGGTTCGGTTGAAGTGAACTATATTTGAATGCATGTGTGAACACCAAGCAGACCGGAGACTACTTCAAAAGCAAGAAGAGTACTGCAGCGTAGGGAATTCTGGGTAAATACAACAGAAACAAATGTGTTAGCCAGCGCTAGCAGAAGAAATGTCTTGTCATGTTTTGTCAAAGACAAAAGAGAAATCGTAGGCCATTAAAATCTGACGCCACCTCATTTTTTATTTTATTTGGAGAAGAAGGAAGTTGTGCTCAGAGGTTTTCATGTGGTTTTCTTCAGTGGTTCTTGGTGCAGCGCCCCCACAGGTGAGGAGGGGAACAGGTTGACTTGTTTGACTCAGTGCTGTGAACCACAGCAGCTGAAAATGTCACAAATGTCAACCAGACTATCAGTTTTAAGTTAATAATTCCTTAATATTGAAGGCAGGTTATTTCACTTATATTATGTACTTTTTAATCAATATTCAGAAATTATTTACTTAAAACAAACTGCTACATTTTTGCTGAAGTTACTTGTAAGTTAGTTGTGTCTTATTTCAAATAAACTAAAATATTTGTAGGAGAAACTACGCCAAAATACTGAGTACGATTTTGTGTTTTTACATCAAGTTACAAGTGCATGACCCATTTTTCTGATTTTAATCACAGAAAATCTTTCATTTCTTCAGTTTAACTGATGTGAAACAGGTTTTTAGTCGTTTAAAAGTCGTCTCTCTGCTGTTTGTCAGTAAAGCAGCTGCGGAGGCACAAAGCGTCTCCTCTGAGGGCTTGTTTTGTTTTGTTAGCAGGAGCCGAGCGAGGCCACGGCGCCTCGTCAACACAAACGCAGGGTCAGAGTT